TTTGAATAATTCGAGACTGTGGGGCTGTAATACGGGATGAGTACGGTTTCTCCCACGATCTTGGCACTCAGCATGGAGATCGGGAAAAACAGAAGGCCCCCGTCGTGAAGGCTGTGATCTGGATTCAGAACATGCTCGTCTAATTATTTTTAGGACGAGCGTCCTGTTTCTAGGCTGGCCCAACGATATTTTATTTTGGTGAATGCACGAATCACACCTCATACGCGAGAGACTGTGGTGGCGAGTCCAAACCGTGAGAGAGAGAGCCGCGGATCTAGCGGGTGAGGACCGAGAAAAAGACGAGCCCGTCTCGGATCCCTCCGCTTAATCCACCCACGATCCCCACGACAACAGTCTGCGCTGTGCCTCGGCAACAGCGGGACTGCTGCCAGCAGGATCGCGAGCCGGGGCGCTCTCATCAAACACAGCCAAGAGAGAGCGGAGCGTGCGCAGCGAGAGCTCGCAGTGATGACAATCAGCTGCTCGAAAGCTGACCGTGCATGCTTTGCTCCTAAACAAACGACACACAAATCGTGTGTATCCCCTGCCGCCAGATATTGTGGGCAGGGAGGAACACAGCGTTTGTAATGCCGTTCGCTCGCCATAGACTTTCTCATTGTTTTATATATATGAGTGCTTGTGCGGACAGACAACAGTAAATAGACAGACACATACACAGAGCGCTACTGAAGAGCAGAAGCTGGGTGGCGCCCGGCCGGATGCGCTTTTATGCTTTCTGGTGCTTACGTCACCCTGCTCGTGACGTCTTGCTGCTCCATTGGACGGATTTGACACGTGCTTCAGAACGCGGTCACGCAAGGGCGTTCCCAAAGCAAATCTCGACGCAGCTCGAGTTCCTGAAGGGGAACTGTACATTTGAGGGCTATTTTCCTGATGCATTGTGGCCTTTAAAATTTCTTATCTTAAAATGTAATTATAGTAAATTTAATTACACTCATAATGGTGGTAAAGGCCCAGTTTTATACATACATACATAAGTACATTCAAGTATGTTCCTACATGGTTTCCATTTACATCTGTTACATGAATAAAAATTGATTGATTTCTACCATTGCTTATTAAAGTAAATAATGCAATACCAACTAAATTATCCATACAATGCCTTTAAGATACTGAATTAAAAAGAACTTTGTCAGTGACAATCAATTCCCAAGAGTATGACTCATTTAACATTAGCCACAGCATCAATGCAATGCAGTATTTTCATAGACAATGTATCCAATGTATCTCTATTACAGAATGGCAGTGATGACCAGCAGAACCATCTCCTTCAGAGACTCAGTGAAGTTTTGCTTCACCGTGATGTAGAAGCACTGAAGATTACCTGTTGTGCTTTGTTCAGAGATTTCCCTCAGGAGAGGTAAACTTAGCCAATAACACTTAAATTAGTATATACTTTGTACACATAATGACAGGCCTGGAAATATTTGTTATAGTAGTATTTATGAGAGTATTCATGTTTATAAGAGTGATTTTGTTTTCATCAGACAGTGCAGTGAAGTCTTCTTCTCAATGTTTTGCAGTGAGCAGTATGTACCTGGTCTGCTGCGCTGGAAGGGGGTGTTTTCAGAGCGACAGGTGAGGGAAGTGCTGGATGTGAGCCGGGACCTCGGCCTCGATCTGAAGCCTAGACGTGTCACCTGTCAGCCTCTGAAGGGACTTTGCTGTTGTCTGATATGAATAACAACATCAGCCAGAATTGTAAAACCTTTGTTTACAAGTTTAATTCAATGGCATTACTGTTTTGTAACATTCGGTTATGAATGTTAGTTATTTATACAGGTATTTTTACATTTTCATCAGATACAGTATTTGTTTGTATCTAATGTCCTTTTGATTTTACATGAAAATCTGGACAACTTGAGAAACATTAATTACCTTTTTGGTATGTCATGTCTATGACAGTATAATTTTCACAGAGTTATTAATTTTGACTGCTACCGTTTACATTGTTACAAAAATGGGTAACACTTTATTTTAAGGTGTCCTTGTGACACGTTACATGTACTTACTATTATAATGACAATAAATTATGCATAATTGCATGCAAGTAACCCTAATCCTAACCCTAACCATATAGTAAGTACATGTAGTTAATTAATATTACTCAGTACTTAAATGTATAGTTACACTGTAACAAGGACACCTTAAAATAAAGATTTAAATACAAATGTAACAAAATGTCCAGCTATGAACTTAAAATACTCTTGTATTATTAATATTTATATTGGTTGTAATTAATTTGATTCTTATTTAATACAACACAGTGTTTCTTTTATGTATGATTATTTTATCATACAAGAGTCAGTGGTACTGTAAAACAAGTCACTTTAAATGTATAACAAGTGTTTTTTAGTTTTATTATTTTTTTAACAGCATTACATTTGAAATACATTTACATTGTGCATCTGTATGGCTGATTGACTGTTATTTTTCAAGGATAGGAAGCAGGAGGTAAAAACATGAACACTACAACTACATCCTGTGTTCCTGTAGAGGATGTAGCTTGTCGGGAAATCTTTCTGAACAGACTCTTTCAGGAACTACACATGTATTGTGACAGCAGGTGTGTTTCCGAAGTGTAACTTGAACCTATCACACCATATCCTGTTTGTAGATGTCTGTTACAGGCACTCCCATAATCCAGTAATCACCACACAAAGCGGCAAATAAACTATTAAAATGTGTGTACTGGAATTATTTGATGCTGATAACAAGACACAGTTACCATAAATTCTTTGAGGTTTATTTTTCATAATCCATATTAAACTGGAAAGTAAAAAACAGACAAATTTCAAAGGAGTAACACAAAAAGTAAAAATGGTGATTTCCAGAATTTCAGTATGTACAAAATGATTGCAAAATGCCTGAGCAGGAGCAATTTTACAAAAGCAGGCAAATGAACACAAGCAATGTTATCAAGCAAAATTCATTTGATCCTCACTGTGGAAAAAAAGCTCCTGCTAAACCGGAGTGAGTCCTGCTGTTCACTGAGCTGATTCTGGCTGCAAGTGACGCTCTTCAGGATCATCTTGAGGTCTGATGGAGAAAGACTTCCTTTGAGTCTCAGCCAAGCAGAAATGTGACGCTCACTGTAACAAGAACACGGACATGAGAAAATTGCAGTGGTCGTTGTTTTGCATAAATAATTGCACAGCAGAAAATACCATACCTGAGATCAGGGTAAAGCTTCATCAGAGTTACCAACTCTAACTTTATGCTGTCTGGATCCTGTAGTTGCAGCAGACCCGCTAAATTGGGAAGAATGTCTTTCAACCAATCCAAATTTGATCCCTGTGATAATGAATTAATGAGGATTTGAATATTAGACAATGCCTTATTATTAAAAAGTAATCATAAAATTGGTTTCCTAAGACATTATTTGTGTAATTTTTGCATATTAAAGTGGGGTAAAAGACAGTATTTGAACAAAACTATGACCTTTAAGTAGGACATATGTACTTACAGCTGCAGTGAAGTATGTATGTATGCGTTCACTGTTTATGCAGAGTGATGATGCTGCCATCTGTTGCTGTGCTTTATTTGAAAGTTTGATCTTTTGCTTCATCATTTTCCGTACATATTCGGCTAGAAACTCCTTATGCATCCCACCCAGTAGCTCCTATTCATTAAATCAATCAATCAATCAATCAATCAATCTGAAATGGAAATTAATTACTCAACAAATCAATCTATTTGTTTGACATATGTTTATACCTGGCAACACATTTTGTCCCAGTTGATGAATTTCTGAATATGTCTGTCCAGCTTTGCCAGCAGCTCTTCACATACACCTTCACTGTGCTTGAGCCACTCGCTGGAACCCACCTTCCTGTACAAGTCCTGCAGAAACACATGCATTGACATGTTTATTTTAAAGCATATGAACTCAGATGCAGGATCTGGTCGTGATCTGGATCTGCTCAAGCAACCGTTTATCTGATTCTCTCATATGAACTAGACAAGCAGTTCATAAAAGGTAATAGTTTGGCTTTTTATATACAGTGGAAGAATTAGGACATGGCAGCCAACTGCTCACACGAGTGTGTTCACTGCCAAGACAAACCTCAATGAGGGTTTTTGAAAACAATGAAAATCTATTGTGCTGGTCTAGACTAGGGTCTGGTTTATTTATAGCCATAATTAAATAGGAGTGTTTTGATAAAGCTAGTGGAAAACTGTAAATATTAAAATACATATACATAATTGGGGCCAGTGGTGTGAAAATATGATTTCTTGAAAGTTCAGTAGATACTTATAAACTATATAAATATTTTAATATTTACTACCATTAAAAAAGTTTAGAATTTAAAAAAAATAAATTATTATTTTTATTCAGCAAGGATGAATTAAATTAATCAAAAGTGAAAGTATAGACATTTATAATTTTTCCCAATATGCCTATTACATATAAATGCTGTTCTAAACTTCCTATTCATAAAATAATCTTTTTAATGGAATTGTATATGTTTATACATTATAAAAATACTAATAATCAAATATATACTGTATATATATATATATATATATATATATACATATATATATATATATAAATACAGTGGTGTGAAAAGGTTTTTGCCCCCTTCCTGTTTTTTACATTTTTTGCATATTTGTCACACTTAAAAGATTCACATCATCAAACAAATTTTAATACTACACAAAGATAATGCAAGTAAATGAAAAATGCAGTTTTTAAATGATGATTTCTTTTATTAAGGGAAAAAAGCTGTCCAAACCTGCCTGGCCCTACGTGAAAAAGTAATTGCCCCCTAAATCTAATAACTGGTTGTGCCACGCTTTACAGCAACAACTGCAATCAAGTGTTTGCGATAACTGGCAATGAGTCTTTCACATCGCTGTAGAGGAATTTTGGCCCACTCTATATATATATATATATATATATGCATACATGCATACATACACTATGTATTACTGAATAAAAACAATTAAAAAGATGTACAGTACATGAAGCACATTTTAGGTCAAATAACTCCCATGGCAGAAGTTGAACATCAACATTCACAACACTCTTGAAATTCATATTCTAAAAGTTTGACAGAACATTGGCCAAAAATACGTTTGTTTTTTTGTTTCATTACATAATAGTGAAAGTAACAAAATGTTGCTTTTACCTTAAGTTCCCTATGCATATTAGAAGTAAAGTAACAGTGGCTGCTTTCTGTCATGGTAGCCAATAACGAGAGACAATCAGTTTTGATATTTTCAGGGAACAGATGTGCATTCTTTGTAATATAGTTCCTGTGGGAAAAAAAACAAAAACAATTTCAACACAAATTCAGAAAGGTTTGATTTGATGTTTTAGCTGAATAAAAGGGACATGCACCTGCACTGTACGAGGCATGAGAGGTTGACCATCAAAACGGCCTCAGTGTTGGTCTGCCTGCTCCTCATGACCTTGTCATGAAATGTTTTGTAACTGTGGGATGGAATTGAATTAATTATAATAGAAGTACAGACTTAAAGTAAGAATGATAAAAAAGGATGGTATTTTGGGAAATGAATCAGTTAAATAGCTAAGAGTTACTCACTCTGTCAGAAAATGTATCATCTGGCATATGATCCTCTGTGCTTTTGCCTCTTTGCCTAGCATGTGCTGAGCACACACTACATGTTTATGAAAGCACTAAGAAAAGTATTGGGGGGGGGGGGGATTAGTTTTCCTCCAGAAATCCATTATTTGATGAAGGTAAAGAATGGTTTACTTTTGCCCTTTTTAATTACCTCGATGATATCAATGGCCTGATCACAGCAGTACACCTGGTCTCTCAGTTGTGGAAGTTCTCTCTCCTTCCAGACTGTTTCTTCTCTGTCCAGAATATTGTGAAGGCATGTGCTCAACTCCGTCTAGTGAACAATGTGAGAAAATTAAAACTTAAGCTTTTTGCTGGAAGCACATCTAAGGCAAGAAATTGTGTTTTCAAAATTGTGAGATTTTTGAATATTTTGCTTCTCTTAAACTAAGGAAAGAAAACGTATATAATACACTTCTAAGTGCTTATTGTATTGTACTTTATCTATTTGCATTTGTAGTTTGCATCTAAGTCTTTAAAGGCCTCTTTTCTGCTCTGAGCCAGTATATATATATATATATATATATATATATATATATATATGGCTTCATTCATGCAAATTTATGCATGTTTCAATTAAAATGCTCTATTTGCATATCTAGACATAACATTATAGAATACTGTAAAACAAATTTATTGTCTTAATGCAATTAATTAGCTGGGGAAGTATCTATTATTGAAAACTCACTTTACCCTGTTTAATATGGTGTCTTGGCTTAAAGTGACATAAAACAGAGGTAAAGATAGGTAAAGATATCATAAAGCATCAAACCTCCGTTGTGATCAAAAACTGCTGTTCCAGTGGTGCAATCATGTCTTCAGGAAGCAGCGGATCAAGCTTTGTGTGATCAATCACATCTTTTATCTTTCCACTGTTTAGAATACTGTAAACAAAGAAAGACAAATTATATTACTCTGAAAAACTGTATCACAACCCAGAGGAAAGATCAGCATTTGAAGCAATAGTTCACCCAAAAATGACAATGCTGTCATCATTTACACACCATCATGTCATTCAAAATCTGTTGTTTTGACTGACTTTCTTCTGTGCAACACAAAAGAGGATATCTTGAAGAATGTTCAACT